CGGGCTCGTGGTGAAGGGAGCCACCTGTGTCTAGACACACCTAAGTTCAAGCTCAGGTTCTCCACTTATTTATCATATGACTTTGTGTTTTTTTTTCTCAACTGCACAATAACATGCCCACTATATGCACCTCAAACTTGATAGGTCCTCAACAGAGCTCTTCAGTTCTCATTCTAATGCTTGTACTGTAGTCCTGTCCATGCGTATGGCATCCTTCTACCCCCAAGTGATTAGGACAAAAGCTGAAGTGTCATCATTGATGCCTTCCTTCCCTTTACTCTCTTCTAACATCCAAACATCACCAAGTTCTGTCAGTTCTTCTTCCAAAATACATTTCCTTTCTAACCACTTCTCTCCTTCTCCCCATCACACACTACTATAACATTTTTGAACTTCAATTGTTCCCTAACTTGGTTTATTTTCCTCTCTTAGCCCTTATCATAACGATTCTTTTAAAACCTCAAATCAGAGCATGCCACTACCTTGCTCAAAGCATTTCATTGGTTTTCCCTTCCATCTCCATCAGTATAAAATTCAATTTCCATACCACACCCTACCAAAAGATTTTGCATATTCTAACGATCACCTTCCTCTGTGAGCTCATCTTCTCCCCTTTCCCCATCACTCACTACTGTCCAGGTAGACTATTCTTCTGTTACTCACAAACATCAAACATTTTCCCAGCTGAAGACTGTCATTATTGTTCTTCCTTCTGTCTACAATGCTCCCCTGGGCATTTGTCAACACTCTCATCCTTCAGGGCTCAGTCACCTCCTCAGAAAGGCTTTCCCTGACAAACTTCACTACAAGTCTCCTGCTCCTTTGTTGATCTCGATAATCCCAAACTTTCTAGAAACTACCACAGTCTATAATTATCTTCTTTATTTAATAATTTTCTCGTACACTAGGAAGTAACTTTCATGAGATCAGAGAACTTGTCATGACTCCATGCTAGCATGTGACACATAGAATGTGCTCAGTAAATATTTTTTGACTGCTAGAATGAATGGTGGAAGAGAGAAAGGAGAAACTGACTGAGCTGTACATATTGAAGGCTGGTATTCTCAAAGGTAACTTTGAGCACTTCCCTGGTGGCGCAGTGGTTGAGAGTCCGCCTGCTGATGCAAGGGACACGGGTTCGCACCCCGGTCCGGGAAGATCCCATATGCCGCGGAGCGGCTGGGCCTGTGAGCCATGGCCGCTGAGCCTGCGCGTCCGGAGCCTGTGCTCCTCAACGGGAGAGGCCGCAACGGTGAGAGGCCCGTGTACCAGTAAAAAAAAAAAAAGGTAACTTTGACTATATACAATTTTACCCCTGTATATTTAGAACACATCTCCTAAGTAAGATATACTACTACTGCAATCTTTTCTGTGTAACCTGTTATTAGGCTTATAGAAACTCAATGAGATTAAAATGCATAATAGGCACTTTTTAAAACATTAAGCACTCTGCAAATGTTATATGTATTTCTATTATTACATATTTTCATTCATGTTGTATCCTTTTATATTAATACTGGTATGTAACATAACAGAGTACTCATGTAATAGAATGGTTTTAGAGACAAGGAACAGAACGTCCATTTCAAGTCTGCTTTACTGATAAAGGTAATTTATTGGTTCAACATATGAAAAGTCCTACAGATAGGGCAGACTAACCAGGACACAGAATCTGTTTCTTTGTGATTCTCCTGTCCCTCCTTTTTTCTCTCCGTCGACTTCATCCTTGAGCTGGTAGTGAAAAGGCTACCATAGTCTGCCATGACATGTCCACAGCCAAGCCATCTTTTTCCATGGCTTTCTGTTTTCCAAATACCCTCAGCAAACATCCCATCCTGTCTCCTTTGCTTACACGGAGTCATATGCCATTTCCTGAACCAATTCTTTTGTCCAGGAATGGTTGGCTGTCTTATGCCTGAGTTCCTACACCAATTATTATCAAAGACATAGAAGACAAATCAGACTCATTTTGGAGCTGGAGACAGGTTTGCTTCCCCTGAAGCACTGGTGTTACAAGGAGTAAATGTAAATGCCTAAGGGTAAACCAGGCAGAAAGGTGCAATACATTCACTATGTTTATGAAGATTATGTGGCTTAAGGCAGGTAGAGCACTTAGATAATACCTGGGATATGGAAAAATGCTCAATAACCACTCTTTCATTGGGAGGAAAACAAACCTATCTTTCTAAATAAAATTCTAGAAGTTTGGGGAACAAAGAATTGATGTCAAACCAAGGGAAATTATGGTCTCATATAAACTATTCTGTAGATTTTTTTGCTTGACCTGAGGTTAGGTATTATTGTATATTTTCCATTTGGACTTTGGTCAGTCAATATGTTTTAGTATCTACACCATGCAAGACATGATTTAAAATGCTGCATAAGACATTAAGTCTAAAATATAGCTTTCTCTAGGGGCTTGGAAGCCTAACACATGACATATGTTCTAAGTCAATGTACAATAATATTTTGAGTTAAGTGCTAAATAAGTTGAGGTATATCAACATGCAAAAATAATATGAGGTAAATACTAATATTTGTATGAATGTAAATATGCATATATAATATATATTTATGTAGTAATAGAAATACTAAATAAGTGGTTGACCACAGCAGTGTTTAAGAGCCTGGACACTAGATCCATTCAAACCCAGGGTTTGAATCCTGACTCTTGGAATAGTATCTGGGATTAGTACTCCTTCCCTAGCTTTAGTCCTCTCACCTGTAAAATGTACCTATCTCACTGGGTTGTTTTAAGGGTTAAATTAAATGAGCTAATCCAATAAGTATTGTCATTGCATCTGCCCATGGTGAGTGTTCCATAAAGGTTAGTTACTCTTAGAATCACCATCCTTGTTATGGTTTGGTTTTAAAGAATTCCAGAAAAAGAAATCAACTGAAATAGATGGGATTTGCTCTTAGTCTTAAAGTAAGTGTAGGATTCAAACAGGAGACGAGATAGCTGGCCATGTAATCACGAGTCGCACTTGGGAACTCAGTAAGTGGCCCAAACTGTCTAGGGGTGGAAATCCATGTAATAACAGATCATATTTGCAATCCATATTTGCAATCACAATCCTTCCATTTTTAAATTTAAATAGCTATTATTTCCCCTCACTCCCACCCACAACTCAGTTCACATCTGCTTTCTTTTTAACAAGCAGGGAAACTGAAACTGGTAATTAAGTACCTCAAATCCCTTTTCAGAATGAGGCATATTCCAAAAGGGAAGAGACCTATTCTGATTTGCTATTGAAATTCAAGAAAGGAGCACAGTGCCTAGCGCATTTAAAGTGTCCCATGAATGGGTGATGATGGGGTAAAAATAAAGAACTTAATAAAATGACTTGCTTAGAGTTATCTGACCAGTAAACAGCAGGGATGAAACCGGACAAGAACTGGAGCCTCCTAATTCCTGAACTTTTTGTTTCCTGTGACACCTGACTCCCTCCATGTAAGGGAATTATGAGATAGGAGATTGGTAAGGAGCACCTCTGGAGAGTGCAATGGTCAGGAGCTCAGGTGAACACAGAGGAATTGATCCATTATGTTCTAAGGGACCACACAGTGTAGTGGGGAGGTGCACAGGTCTGGTTAAAACCTCAGTTCCTCCTCTTACATGGTTCTGTGACTTTGGGTAAGTTATTTAACCTTTCTGTATCTCATTTCCCTCATCCATAAGAAGGGGATAAAATGATGGTATGTATCTCATAGAATGGTGATGATTAAAGGAAACAATGCATGTAGACTACATAAAACAGTGCTTAGAACATAGAAAACACTCAATAAATGTTAGCGATTATTACTTAGAAAGATGGAAGGACCTATATTTTAGAGCATCTGCTGTTTTTATTTGCCCCACCCCCTCACTCTGGCCCCTTGCCTCTAGGGAGGGCATGCAACTCAGAGTTCTATGGCTCCCTTGTCAATGCCTTTGACATTTGCTTTTCCAGCTCTAGGAAAAGTGCTCCCAAAGAAGGAGATGGTCCCTACTTCACTGAAATTGCTGAAATCACTCCAGGGAAGCAATCACCTACCTCATCAAACCCATACCAGCTACACAATTCGTAGAGCCCAGTGCAAAATGAAAATGTGGGGCTTCTTGTTCAAAATGTATTAAGAATTCCAAGACAGCAACACAGAGCATTAAACCAAGTATGGGACCCTTCTGAGCCCATGTACAGGTTGCACACCCATGAAGCCAGGCTTGCAGATGCTTTAAACTTTCCACTTCACCTTTTTGTCTTCCTTTGGAGTCATCTTTTTATGACTCTTGCCCCAAACACCTGGCAGAAAGTGTTTCTCTTGCCCTTGATCTTTGCATTAAACTTGCTTTGCATTTTGGAATCCAAATACCTGGAGAGAAATTTGGATTCCACCCCTACTAGCCTGTACACTCATAGGAATGATGCTTAACTCTCTTTAATTCTATTTTCTCATTTGAAAATTGAGGATAATGATAATCATAGCAACTTATAGACTTACTATGGGTATTGAAAGAGCTAATAATTTAAAAATTTTTAAATAGTATCTAACACAGTGGTTCTCCACCCTGGCTGCATATTAGAATCACCTTAGCACTGTTAAAAAGTGCCGCTGTCTGGGCCCCAGCCACGACCAATTATACCAGAGCCTTTGGGGGTGAGGCCAGGACAACTATAGTTTTAAAAAGCCCCTCAAGAGATTTGAATGAACAGGAGGGTTGGGGACCACTGGTCTTGTGTATGACGAGTGCTCAATAATAAATAATAAGAATAAATAATAAATGCTATAATAAATTTTAAAATACAAATAGTATAATAATAAATAATGTTGGCCACTTATTATACAGCTTGCTAAACAAAGAAGTAAAATGTCCTATAGTTCAGTTTTCCCCCTGGATCAACTATGCATCTGGCTTCTTTCTCCCATTCTCATGTGCTTTGATCCAGCCTGTACCTGCAACCAATATAAATCAAAACAAAAGATGTCTTGCGGTGTTCCCGCTGAGACAAAGGTACCTTTGAATACAGGTCTTTCCATTAACCCAGAGATGAGAGGGGAAATGTCAATTCCTCCAACAGGGCTCCTTCCTTTGATATCAGGGTGGTGTATATTCCAAAAGCTCTGTACTCTGCAGGTTTCGGGGGGCAGGGAGGACTTCAATCGAGTCACCAGAGATCCCTAAATAATGCAAAGCAAAGAGAGACAAGGAGGTGGTGAGAATGTTAATTTCTTAAGCTTGTATTTCTCTCCCATCAGAGTGGATAATCATCTCTTTGAAAATGCCCTTGTGTCATATTTATGATGGTGACACATCCATTATGAATACAGTAGCTCATTTGCAATGTGACCTGACAAATATTGATGTGTTCTAGGCTACATTTAATTTCAAGGCAACTAAAATCATTTGTGTTTCTTAGTAACCGGGAAGGGTTCTGATCACATGGAGCTTAAAATAGTAGGGTCCTTTATGACTTGTCCTTCATAGTGAATCTACTAATCGGGACCTGGACAGGTGTTGAGGGAGGAGCTGGAGGAGTGGTCAGCTGAGTCAATGTGACCTTGAGGTCATGAGGATCTCACTCTCAAGCTGAGGTTCATAGATACATTGTTGGAGGGGAGCTGGCTGAGTTAGTCACAGTTTCTTAACTGATATCCATTGACCATCTCCTCCAGCTAAATAATAGGGTTACAGATCCACAGCTCCTGGGACTCAGAATATAAAAGCCGATTTGTGGAGGCCCTCAAAGGCCCAAGTCCCAGCATCCAAGAGTCAAATATATGTTACATTTGCTGAGCCTGTGGGTCTAAGAGAAAAGAGCAGATCCTGCCCAGAGCTATTTATGTTCTAGTTGGCTCCCTAAATTCTAAGCACCTGAGAAGGCAATTCTTAAGCGATATTACAAGATAACACAGATTTAGAGGGCAAAAGAATTATCATAGTCAGGACAGTGTTTTTAATAAGTTTTGAAACCATTGTGAGTCCTGAAGTTAATTTAGTAGGTCAAGACAAACATTTCCTTTTAGAATAGAATAGACTAGATCAAAGTAGACTAGATCAGAGTGCTTTCCTTTCAGTTAAGTAAATTGTTAGGATTGAGTATTGTTTTCAGAAAGTTTAGCTTCATTTATCTATGTTTATGTGTGTGCATGTTAGGTCTCAATGTAGAATGGAATTTTTTGCTGTGGTTCAAGGTCCAAAAGATTGAAATTCACCATATTAGTAGACAGTGTCTATTCAGGGCAGAGTTTACAAACTGGGGACTTGCAGGATACATATGGCCCATTAGGAGTGAGTGAATTGGGAGTTTTATTATTATTGTTGTTATTTTGTTCTGTGGTTCACAAAAAGAGGTTGTGAAAAAATATGAGTTGATGGCCAGCAGTTAAAAGTCAGGAACTTTTATCTTTTAAAAAGACAAATTTTTCAGTTTCTCTTCAAATACCAGAATATCTAGAAATAATGAATCTGAATTCTCACAGGCCGGGATAGCCCAGGTAAACTGTTTTCCCCAAAATGAAAACCATGAGCTCGCTGAATGCAGAAACCATGTCACATTTGTCTCTGCTTTCCCATCCCATTGCTCAGACCAGTGAATTGCATAAAGCAGATACTCAATAGTTGTTTGACAAATTGCATTACAAAAGACTTCAACTTAAGGTTATTAGTTGCAGCATTGTTTGATATAGCAAAAAAATTGAAAACAATCCAACTGTCCATCAGTTGAGTTTTAATAAATCAGCTATGCCACCTCTATACAATGGAATATTCTAAGGCTATGGAAAATGATTTAGATCTATTTTTGGTGACGTAGAAAGATGTTCAGGACATAATACTAAGTAAGAAAGCAATTGACAGAACCGTAGAGAGCGCATTATCCAAATAATTTTTAAATAGACACTTCTAGGTATAGAAAAGATCTGAAAGGATATTCATTCACCTCACAGATGTTTCCTGAATGCCTACTATGAGTTAATGACTATTCTAAGAGCTGTATGTATAAGAGTAAACAAAGCGAAATGTCTATGCACGTGGAGTTAGCATTCTACTAGGGGAGGGGATAGAGACAAAAAGCTGTATTTAAGATAATAATAAGTGGAACAAAGAGAAGTAAAACAGGAATACTGAATAAAGAGTGATATGGCTGGTGCAGGGAACATTTCAATATTATTTAAGATGTTTAAGAAACACCTCTCTGATAAGAAATTATTTGCCCAGAAACCTGAAATAAGACAATAAGTCATGTAGGTTTCTGGAGGAAAGGATTCCAGGCAGAGGGAACAGCAAGTGTAAAGGTCCCAAGGTACAAGTGTACTTGGTGTGGCAGGATAGAGTAAGTAAAAGGAGAGAAGGTTGGAGACGAGACAAGCAAATTAATGGGAAACCATGTTATGTAATGCCCTCTAAGGGAGTTTGACTTTTATTCTGAGTAGAGTGAAAAGACTGGCAGGCTTTCCAAAAATTATCAAGAAATTGGTAATGGACATATTAAGTTTGAGATGCCTATAGGAGTTCCAAATGGGAGGTAGAAAGTTGGATGCATGATCTAGAGTTCAGGAGTGAATTCTAGGCTGGTTTTATAGATTAAGACTGGTATTTAAATCCATGTTCTAGTTAGGTGAACCTACCTTGAAAATAAGTGTAGAAGGCAAAGAGGTCTGAGGACTGAGCCATATACTATTTTGTCATTTAGGGAATGAAAGCTTAAGAGAGTCCAGCAAAACTTAGAAGAAGGGACTACTGAGCAGAGATAAAGGAAAGAGCTATGTGAAGGAAGCCTAGTGGCAAAAGTATGATATCCTCAAAGAGGAGGAGGAGATAAATTCTATCAAATTCTGCTCAGGGCTTCCCTGGTGGCGCAGTGGTTGAGAGTCCGCCTGCCGATTCAGGGCACACGGGTTCGTGCCCCGGTCTGGGAAGATCCCACATGCCGTGGAGCGGCTGGGCCCGTGAGCCATGGCCGCTGGGCCTGCGCATCCGGAGCCTGTGCTCCGCAACGGGAGAGGCCACAACAGTGAGAGGCCCGCC